AGTTCATTCATTATGAACACATTCAGGAGCAAAGCAATATTGAAATATGCAGCTAGTGTACATATGAACACAATATGAACAGTTTGTGAACAATATTTCATTCATTATGAACACATTCAGGAGCAAGACAATGTTGAGATATGCAGCTAGTGTGCATATGAACACTTGTCTTTAACAATTACATATGAATTCGAATTCCGATTGTAGTCGTAGACGATTTTATCTTTTCATTCTCATTGTTGTCGATCTGTTTTCCAATAGGTTTATTCATATTACTCGAATGATGTCGAAATCTTTACAATCGGAAATTCTTTAACAATTACAAAATCAATATCATTATGGATAGAATAAATCGAAATTACAAAACATGAACACGTATAAAAAAAAATCAATACTACATAATCATCAATTATTGAGATTTTTAGATTTGTAACTCTCAATTAATGATTTGGAAGTTACATAAACGACAAATTACTTAATTACTATTGTTATTAATATATGAGTTATAGATGAACCTAAAGAAAATATGAAATATGATTGGTTGAGTTTGGTTAACAAAGTTAATACAAAAATCTTGGTTAGTATTTGAACCAACCCCTATATATATATATAGGGGCAAGTTGATTTGTTATATATATATATATATATATATATATATATAGGGTTGGGTTCACGTGAGACCAAAGGTTTTTCGTGAGACCGATAAGACCAATTTATGTTCATTGATCAAATTTATGAATTAATGATCTAATGGTTGCAAAGTTGCAAGGTGACAATTTCGTAATTGGTGAGAAGTCTTGTGGCGTTTATAAATGTTCAGATCTGACAATTGTAAATCTAATCCAAGGGTTGAGAATTGGTCTTACGGGTCTCACGAAAAACCATTGGTCTCACATGATCCCAAGTCTATATATATATATATATATATATAGGGGCAAGTTGATTTGTTAACCCAAGTTATTGTGTTAATTTTATGGACTAATCATTGCCATTGATTTTTAAAATATAGGATTGAGTTTAATCATGTTATAAATTTAATTTATTACCCTTATAATCTCACAAACATATGTGAACATAGTAGCTCAAGGGTATTCATGTAAAAGAGGAGGTGCAATCAATATTATCGTTTACAAACATCAGAAATCGTATATGTTCAATTTGTGTTCGTAATTGCCACAAGTGTTCATATATGTTCAATTTGTGTTCATAATTGCCATAAATGTTCATATATGTTCAACTTGTGTAAATAATTTCCGCAAGTATTCACATATATGTTCAATTGTGTTCATAATTGCCACAAATGTTCATATATGTCAATTTGTATTCATATGGGTGTATGCATGTCAGTCTGTGTTCATAATTACTAAGACATTCGCTTTGATTATTTACTTCACTTCCCGATCTCGAACTCCGACTGTCACCATAAACAATTTTAACCTTCTCAATGTTGTCGTGTTGTTTTCCAATGTCTTTATCCATAATTGTTTGAACGATAACAAAAACTTTACTAGCGGATCTCCTCCACTAATCACAAATTTATAAATATAAAAAATGGAAGATCATATTAAAAAAATGAAAAAAAATCACAAGATCAATATTAAAAATGCAAAAATCATGAGATTTTATGGATCTTGTAACTCTCAAATTAATGATACAAGAGTTACAAAAAAAAAATTACTCATATACCCTTAACATTAAATTCTTAGATACAGTATAACCTAATACTAAGATGAATTATGATTAATTGAAAAAAGTTCATAAAATTAAAACAACAATTTAGGTTAAACTTTCTCTATATATTAAACATACACTTGTATATTAAATAAGTGGTTGTATCTTACCTTACACAAAAGATTCTTCCTTTCCCTAGTCAAAAGCAAAGAATAATTTCAAGATGATCACATTGCTTCAATATACCTCCCAAATATTCTTTTACTTTTTTTCACCAAAGAAAAAATTTTATCAGATAATTATGGGTTAACTTAACTGCCAATAAAGCTTACGTTTTTTATAATCCTTCTTAGAAATCACTGGTTCAAGTCCTGTAAAATTGTTAAAATTTTTTTTTACTGTTCTTCAGAACATCTGAAATTAGTCGAGATGTGCACAAAACCAAAAAGCCCTGATTTAAATATCATTATATATGCATCTTTTGGTATATATTTTGACAAAACCATGTTATATATGTTACATAGATATTCAATATACTTATTTTCTATAAAATTATTTGTCCATGATCATAAAAAAAAAATCCATTAAAACTCATTTACCATGTTATGTATTTCATTTGTTTCTTTATTTTCTTGTGTTTACAAGGTAGAACTAAACCACAAGGATGGTGCCCGATTTATTTGAGTTTATGCTATAAAGGTCAAAAGTGTCCGGAGGTCCCAAGTTCGAATCCAAAAAGGAATAAAAAGCCCTTTGTGGCCACGAAGGTTTAAATGTGTTGACTCTGGGCGACCCGCGAAGCGGGTGGTTGTCCTGAATTAGTCGGCTCGCATAACGGGTTGAATATTCAGGTTAATAAGAAAAATGTGGAACTACTTTCTTTTGTAGCTATTTGCAATTGATTAGCAATACAAAAACACTTAATATTTTTTTAATATTTGTCAATAGCTGTTACAGTGGAAACAAATTCTCAGTTACAAAATTATTTTATATGCTCTGAGGCGAAGCCGTTATTCATATAAAAAACGGTCCTCATTACTCGGAGAGGTTATTTCGGATGTAAGTGTGTAAACGCACACACATAAAGAGAGACATGTGAAATTTACCTTCATAGTGTTTTGTTGTAAAGTTTCAAGTCTAAAAAAGTGGTCTCACAAGTCTTAGGAAAAACTGCTCTCACGTGATCCCAAGTCAATATATATATATATATATATATATAGAGAGAGAGAGAGAGAGAGAGAGAGAAAGAGAGAGAGGAGCGATAAAATAAAAACCACATTCATTTGTAAAAACCGTACAAACCATCATCATACGTCGATTTCATTGTTTAATCTTATAAAAAAAACTTATGAAATTGTTTAATTTTGTGAAATTGTTTCATATAATACTTTTTTGATGAATTTGTTTCATATATGGTTATAAAATTGTTTCATATAATATTTAATGAAATTTTAATGAAACTGTTTCATGTATTTCTCTAAAATTAAAATAATGAAGATGATAATATCCATGATTAACACCTTCCACAATAAAAATGGTTAATCAACTCTCATAATTACAAAAAAATGAACAAAATGAAAAATTATTATTGGTTGAATGAGGTTTTCACGGTTTTTACAAATTGAGTGGTTTTTATTTGAAAGCTCCCCTATATATATATATATATATATATATATATATATATATAGTGTTGGGTTCATGTGAAACCAAAGGTTTTTCGTGAGACCCATAAGACTAATTTATGTTCATTGATAAATTTTATAACCTAATGGTCTAATGGTCTAAAGTTGCACGGTGACAATTTTGTGATTATTGATAAGTCTCATAGCAATTTTGTGATTATTGAGAAGTCTCATGGCAATTTTGTGATTATTGAGAAGTCTCATGGCAGTTTTGTGATTATAAATATTCAGATTGTAGATCTAATCCAAGGGTTGAGAATTGGTCTTACGAATCTCACGAAAAACCCTTGGTCTCACATGATCCCAAGTCTATCATATATATATATATATAGAGAGAGAGAGAGAGAGAGAAAGAGAGAGAGAGAGAGAGAAGTTGGTTCAAATAGAAACCAACCATATGGTACAAACTATGGAAACCGATCTTGACCAATCACATTCTTTCTTCACTTTAGGTTCAAATCTAAATTATAAATTAATGATAAGGGTAATTTGGTAATTCCGATGTTCACGGTGTTCATGGTGTTCATATCCATGTAATGTCCATGAACATTCACCGTGTTCATATAAATGTTCACCCTGTTCATATAAATGTTCACCGTGTTCATGCGATGTTTTTACAAAAGTACCATCTGAACCGTTGTTCATAGGCATTTCAATTAATATATTAATTAAATGATTATTTTTATAATCTTATTTAATAAGGACCGTTTGATGAGAAAATGAACGATCAAGATCGGGTTAACATAGTTTGCACAATAGTTTTGGTTAATATTTGAACCAGCCCATATATATATATATATATATATATATATGTTTGATTAATTATCACAATAGAGATCAATAAAAACAAAAACATAAGAGAATATTTGTTATCCAACTCTTTAGTAAAGGCAAAGTCACTCCTTTTGGATTCAAAAACCCTCTTACACCCATCCTCACAAGTCACACCTTTGCCTATACAAATCAACACATCCACCTCAACTTAAACCAACCTCTTTCTTGCTCATCCTTTTCATCGTTTAACCCAAAAATCGATTTGAAAAAATGTCGCAACAACAAATGCCCGTTGTATACCCAGTCTCAGACACGGTCCCAACTTCAAACAACTCGTCAAACGGGTCATATGGGGCGGTTTTCATTGTCTTGGCAGTGATTGTAGTTGTCTCTGCCATCGGTTGCTTTCTTGGACGGCTCTGTAACAAAGGTCAGGATGTGGCTAGACCTTATAAGGATCAGAGCCATCCACCAAAAGAGAAAGACGTAAAGCGTAATACCAACGTCTTTCAAACCAAAGACGGGGACATTGAATCTGGATACGATAAGAGGTTGGCTAGTGCCAAAGTGGCTGCAACCTCAGGTGAACCAAGCATGGCTCAACCTGAACCTTTTGGTGAACCAATGGCGCGACCTAACTCGTTTCAAGAACCAACTGTCAGTCGAACTAACTCCTATGATGGACCAAACCAGGTGCGGGCTAACTCGTTTCATGAACCTGCCATGGGGAGACCTAGCTCGTTCCACGAACCAACCATGAGACAACCAAACTACCTTCAGAAGGGTGAATTTCAAGGTGATCAAGTGAAGTTTGGTGCGGATCGAGGTCATGAAATAAACTTCAAACCTCGTACTCGCGCACAACGCTACTGACGAGCATGCATACACATTTCTACGAAGTTTATCCGGTAATAAAAATATATTGGAGATAATCTCTCTCTCTCTCTCTCTCTTTATATATATATATATATATATATATATATATATTAAAGAAGAAACCAAGGTTGATGACTTGGCTTCTTCTAAAGGTTAGAAACTTATTTTTTTTTCATTCATCCTTCTTTAATCTTATTTTTTTTTATAATTTTTATAAACATTGATTATTCATTTATGTTTGCATTTAACATAATCCTTTCATTTTCCCTAACTCTTCTTCATGAATTGTTCATCATCCAATCTATTTTTCTCTATCTCCATCACTTGATTTGTTTTTCATTTCACAAATTGTTAGTTTTCAACAAATATATTTTCAAGTTTATTTCGAGAAGACTAATTCAGGTATGCGTTCCTTTTTATTTTTGTTGGGATTTTAGAATTTTGTTTTTTTATTTTTCTCTTCTATAATTGTCCTAAGTTTTCTCAATAAAACAGAGTATTTGTTCTTGACAACATTTTTAAAGTTTTCATGGCAACAATGGTTCGATTAATGATCTGATGATGGAATCTTGAAAGTACTACCAACCATGATGTAGCCTCAATAAACTTCAACATGTTTTTGTAATAGTTATCTTTTTTCAAGTATACTTTGAGAAAACTAATGTGTGTATGCATTTCTTTTGACTTTTGTTGAGATTTTAAAGTTTTTTTTGTTATAATTTTTTATGTAGCATCACCAAACTTCAAGATGTTCTTTTTTAATGGTTACATTTTTTTCAGGTTTATTTCAAGACGATTAATCCGAGTACGCAATTCTTTTTAATTTTGTTGGGATTTTAGAGGGTTTTTTAACTAATGTTTGAGGTGACCTCTTCTAAAGCCTCCTCATTTTTCTTTTTTTTTTCCTTCATTCTCTCAATATCCACTACTATATTTTTTTTTGTCAATTTATGTTTTTTTCTTAAATGTTTGCATTTAACTCCAAACCATTCATCTTCTTCTATATTAATTCTAATGACATAACTCCGAACCATTAATTTTTTCCAATCAATCATTTATTTTTATATATAAAAACAACAACTATTTATTCATCTTCATCTCTCACACCCTCTCACATTCTATCTCAATCCTATACATCTCTAAATTTATTTTCTTTCTCTTTGGTTTTTCTTCTATTTTACTATTAATAATATTCATAGGTTTTTTTATTATTTCACTTCTCCCGTAAATTTTATGTATGTTTGTATCGTTATTTAGATTGCATTATAGTTTTTATGCATTATGTCATGAAGATTTGAAGAAGTCTTCAAGTTCAATATTTGATTTTTTGGTTGCAATATAAGGTAATAATTTTATATTGATTTGTTTCGTGATTTTGATTGCATTATAATTTTATTTATGTTTGTATCGTGATTTTTGTTTGCAATATAACTCTTATGTATTAGGTGAAGATTTAAAATATTCACGTTCACTATGTAATTTTTACTTATGTTGAACGTTTTTTGCTTTGCAGGTTTTTAAGTTCTTTAACGTTTATATATCAAGTCTAGAAAATTTGAAGTTTTCAAGTTTGGGTTATGGGAATTTATGATTATGATCTAATGTAAGGATTTTATGCAAGTTTGTTTTGTAATTTATAGTGTATTAGAATGTTATGTATGTTTGTATCAAGATTTTGATTGGATTATATTTTTAAGTATGTTTTTATCGTAAGTTTAGTCGTATTATAATTTTATGTATGTTCATGTTGTGATTTTGATTGCATTATAATTTTAT